AGGTGTTTAATCCAAACTTACCACATAATCTGTTTAATGTTTGTTTGAGTAATTATGTGTGATTTTAATTGTTATTATGTGTACGTGTTTGAGGAATGTGAATGTATGGAGGTTGATTTAGGCTTAACTTCTTGTTTTTGATAGTATAGGGTAAATAGAAATAGAATTGAGGGTAGAGTTTACTTGATAGGCTGATTTGGGTTAATTATATTTGCTTTCTGTAACATGAATTTTTTCTTTTATTCCAAAATTAGGAATGACCTTGTTCTTGATTCCATGGTAAATTAAACTACCCCAATTGTTTAATTCTTTAATTTCATTCATTTTGAGTTGAACACTTTATCGAAAATTTAAAAAATTCATGTTTGATAGTTGATTCTCAAGTATTTTGTTTTGAATCTAAAGCAGAGCTTCAATATTTTGCACTTCACTGTATAAACTCTTCTTTTTTGGGATTCAATTTTTTAGCTTACGTATATTTATTTTAAGCCTATATACTATATAATATCGATTGAAAGCGTTTGTTGTGTCATTCTCATTTTTTCAAAGTGGGCATTGGTGATTGTAAAGATGATAACAAATTAAACAACCAAGATATGCTGAGTTTGATTGGTTGATTCTAACTCTAGCTGTATTGCTGTAGATAGAGGGGAAATGAAAAAGAATTACTTTAGAATTATGTCTCCCTTTCTAAACCAACTTATAAAATGAAGTTGAAGTGAATAAGTGGTGCTATTCTGTGAGGAACTTTCCATAGGAATGAAGGGAGTTCTAAAAAGGGATTTTTTTTATTCATTGCCGCATTGCTATCTAGTTAACCTGAAGTTATTGTACAACGATATCAAAGTATGAAAACTCGCAAGAAACAAATATAATTTATAAATTATGTTATTTTTAATATTGTCGTAATATTGTTTTATATTTTTATCATCATTAAATCCGTGGCTAAATGATCCGTGGCTAAAAACTCAAAGTTCAACAATGATTAAATCGTGCCCGCACTGACCAATATTCGTGGCTCCACCCCTGTACATCCGGGCAGATGCTAGCTACATCAAGAGCTCGAACTTATAGAAAACAACAGTTAGAAGGATTAGTGACATTGACAATAAAAAAAATAGCAAGATTGAGGAATGTCCCTATTTCAATGAAATAAAATGCAAAAAAATAGCAAAAAACCCTATCGAAAACGGACTTGAGTCAAAACGCCGCACAAAACAACCACCCATGCAGTGGCTCGACACCATGGGCGGGCACCCTAGCTTTGGCTTCGGGTTTTGCCTCATTTTGATGCTTTTCTTCATTTTTTTGTCTAAATCTTGATCTTTTCTTTTTAAATCCAACACAAATTTCAACTTTTGATAGGGCTTCCAAATAAAATTTCAATTAGAATTTGCCAAATACACTTGGAATATGATTCCAAAAGTATTTCAACAAATAGATTTCCTATTAATGTCGACCTTAATTAAAATTCTCAATCATCTTCAAAATAGAACTCGAATCTGTTAGGGGATTATTGAGAGCAATTACCCAAGGCCAAAGTCCACTCCACCAGGCTCAAGTGAGGTTCCATCCCAAAACCAATTGGCAATGGGTGGAGTAGTCCACTTGGGTTATATGGTGGATTTATTTTCTTCCCACAATCGATGTGGGACTTGGTTGCCCCAACAATCCCTCCCTCAAACAAGGCTCACGAGATAAATCACCACTCATCGAGATAATCCATCGTAGCCGCACCCACTACGTTACCACGGATTTACCATCTCATGAGAATTTTCCACCACCTCGATTTATCTAGCCACACAACTTGGGCTCTGATACTACTGTTAGGGAATTATTGAGAGCAATTACCCAAGGCCCAAGCCCACTCCACCAGACTCAAGTGAGGTTCCATCCCAAAACCAATTGGCAATGGGTGGAGTAGCTCACTTGGGTTATATGGTGGATTTATTTTCTTCTCACAACCGATGTGGAACTTGTTTGTCCCAACAGAATCACACCCTAATTCTAACCGTTAGGGTAGGTTTTACTTTGACCAAATTAAAGAAACTATGCAGGTTCCCTCTTTGCCATGCACAGTTAATCATAAACCTAATCCCACATTTGTCTGTCTCTACTTTAAAAACTCATGCATGCTCGAGTTTCCGCATAAACAAAGAAAATCTTCAATAAATTTGGTTCGCACCAAAATTTTGGGATATTCCAGCAAAACAATAAACTAGTGGCATATGCTGGGACATTCCCAAGGAGAATTTTTTCTTTCCATTGAGGTTCAAGGTATCAATTCTCCCTCGTGGAAGAGGAAGACCCATGGAATATCTTCCAACTTTTTTCACATCTTTTAAGCTTATTCTTTAGAAACTTTCTTTCAAATATCCTCGTCGTGGTGCCACCACCAGTCAAGGTTGCAATCTATTTCTCTCTTGCCAAAGGATCATTATTGATCAAGCCAAATTGTGTAATTTTATCGGTTTGCAAGTTCAAAAGGTATAAAATCTTCGGTTTAAATTGGACCATGAATTGGAAAGCTTACACGTTCTACTTCAAATAGAGTTTGAATTAATTCTCTCTAAATTTATGTAATGACACATACTGCACATAACAGTAAGAATTAGCAGTATTTATGGATGACAACAAAATTGCTATGGATTCTAAGGAATGTGCCATGGAGTTTTGTTATTTTCTTTTCATTTTAGATGTAGATATTCATCAAGTCGAGGAAAAAGTGACAGATGCTTTACTTTCAAGTCCCTTTTCTACTCACAACAAGCTCTGCGTCTCTTTGAAGAGTAAAGGGCCATAATCCAATAAACAGTGCCTTATACACGGCAGCGTGTCTCTTTAGTCCATGTTTGGTAAAGATCTTATTTAAAACTTATTTTTCCATTGAACTCATTTTCTAAAATAAATTTTGTTTAATTACATATTCTCCAAAAAAACTTTCTTTCGCAAAATCTATTGTCAAAAGATCTACATCAAACAAACTTTTAATAAAATGATATAGGTCCGTGTCAAACACTCTCCTTGTTACGCGGTTTAAAAGAGAGAAAAAGCTAATGCTGCATGCAGAATTTCTCCCATATAAACGTCTTTCTCTGTGGACTAGAAAGCAGCTTCTTTTTCACAACTTATGGCATAAAGAATAATTTAAGAATGTACTGTTTTGCATGAAAAGAGGGGAGTAATTTCTTTGGGACTCTATATATACTTCAATAGCGCATTAAGTAAGGCATCTGTTTGGTAGACACTACTCAGCCTAAAGATGTATAAATGCATTGCTGGGCAATACTTCTCTGGCAGGAGCTTTTTAACTGCAAGAAATTAAACTCATTGAAGCAAAATAGTAAGCTCCCTGCCAAGGGAGATTTGCCCGGCAATTCAGCTATACAAAGTACATTCATAATCATCTACTCAAGTTGGTTCAATCCATTTTGGCAAGGTAAATAATTAAGTAACTTTTATTTTGCTTGCTATTATGAATTTTTTTCCTGAAGCGATCCAATTATAGAAAGAAGGTTTTTCTAAATAAAAATTCCAGCCTCACGAGCACTCGAGTTTTGTCACCGTCCATTCTTGCGAAATCGATACAACCTTTCATTTAATTAAGGTATCATGGCTTCATTTTTTCGCTATTTTTGTTTGTTAATTCATTTCTTTATGATGGAGCTGGTACTTCTATTGGTTGGAAGATGATTTGGGGTGAAGCTAGGGTTTTCGTGTTGGCATCAGACTGCAATGAGTGTTGGAATGACGAATGAGACCCTGGGAAGGGAATTATTTGCAAAAAAAAAAAACGAAAAAAACTTCCGTTGCCGGGACTTGAACCCGGGTCTCTCGGGTGAGAGCCGAGTATCCTAACCAACTAGACTACAACGGATTTGTTGCATACTCATTACATATTTACGATTACATTTTCACTTTTTTTGTCCATATTCTTTTTTTCTCCGGACGGAAGCGTTTTCTTGTAACAAAATCGAACGCAACAAATTTTTACTAATGAAAATATAATTTCTTTTCTTTTCATGGATACAAATGATTTAAGACATCAATAAAAAAATATTTGATACTACACAATAGAATGAAGAAAATTTGTTTAGCCGAAAATGTCTTCCTATCCAATTTTCACGTGCATTTTGACCCTACTCGTCATTTAACCTTCTTCAGAAGAATTCGATATATATTACATCGTAACATATATATGACATACCAAACCTAAAATTTGGATGATCTTAACAAGAAAACGATTAACTAGTCAACATAAAAAGAAGAAAATGTTGAATTGTTTTTGCTTTTGGTAGCAAATCATTTTTCGCTTAAATTATTGATATGGGAATGGAATCCCGAGCAACAAAAAACCACCTAAAATGATAAAAGCAAGAACAAAATGATTACAACTTGCAATTGGTATAGCATAATTTATATTTTGTATAGAAATTAGCAAAACTTATTTTTAAGTTAATTATTTAATTAAATGTGATTTTCAAATTTACTTCTGGAAATTAAGCTTCAATATAGGGGGTGGAAGCAATCAAGCAAGTGGATAGAAACTCATGAAGTAAATACATATCACTTGACCACAATGCAACAACATTCTTTCACAACATGTAGAAACACAGCAGAAGCAGATCAAACGAACAAAAATAGTCGACACCCTTCTTGTTCCGGCTGCTGCTTTCGGTACATTTACGATTTACCTATTCATACACTTGACATTCGTCTGTTGGAAACTTGCTCGTCAGTTACTACCGAACATATACAACAAAATCTTTCCCTTTTCCTGGGTGCTGCTTAGAGAGGGACAGGAGAGATTGTTACACAAAAAAGGAAGAACGAACGTAAAACAGTAAGGTATAGAGAAATAATGTGTAGTAGCAGCCTTATAGCTGCCCTTTTGTGTACTTGTAGCCCAGGAGATTCTGCTGGTGGGGCTACCCTCACTTAGAGATGATTTAGCCACCTCGTGTTAACTACTAACGAGCAAAACTCGATAATGCTCCAGTTCACGTCATGCCCTCGGGAGATGAAAAAAACTGTAGGCCCATTTGTCTTTTCACGTGATCGGGAATAAGCTTGTTGATCAGATCCGGTGACGCTCCAGACAACTATAACGTGAAAATGGAAAAAATAATAATGTCAGAAAACCACAATTAAATTCATGACTATTCTGAATTTGTTTAACAGAACAATGGTTCTCTATTACTTGAAAGATTTATCAATCAATCTGAAACCCTGGAAAATTCATTTGAATATCGACGAAAAAGAATAGAAAATGTATATTCACACTGCAGACCTCCTGTTTGAAGTTGAATATAGGTGGCAATGGGTGACCATTTGGCAGTCGAGCATTAGGTTCTCGAAGCTCATCAAAGAAAGGATGTGCACAAGCTTCTAGCTGCAGCAAAAATCATTTGAGTCAGATTAAGAAACTAATATATCTAGAACTATACTTGTAGGCTAGTTGCATGTAATTCTAGGTAAGCAATAGTTATATACCAAAAGATGTTAGAATTAAAACTACTAGAAGTCATTTAGTATCAAATGAGAAGAATTAGTAGGCATGAGAGAGAGAGAGAGAGAGAGAGAGAGAGAGATGAACCTATTTTTAAAATCATGTGAGAATGTTAAGACTACTATACTCTATGATGCATCGACACGGACACGTATATCCGACACGACACTTGTCGGATAAGTCAACATGCGATTTTTAAAAAAAGTACAGACATGACACGTTAATTAAATTCTTAAAAAATCTTCATTTATATAGTATAAATTTAGTTTTATACTTGTTATTAATATTTCTTGTTGAAATCTTTTAAATATGAGTACATATTTGTTGCTAATAATTTTGAATTAACAATATATGATATTTCTAATATAAAAAGAAAAATGATTACGGTAGAATATTCGAGAAGTGTCGGTATCGACTCATGTCTGACGCGTGTCGGACACGGACACGCTACCCTAATTGAAGTATCTGTGCTACAGAGACTATACTTTATATTTCTCGGGGAGAAGAGAGTACTAGTTCCTCTATGGAGGAAACAACAATGAAACACCACATTGCACATAAAAAATATCACATCATAAAAACCAATTCAATTCTTTAAAGAAAAAAGTGTGTAGTAGTTCACAGCTGTGCAACGAAGACTAGGCGAGTATTGCAGCAACCGGGAGGCAAGGTCTATTGCTTCTGGAGGCATCCGTTTGTGAAAGACCTGAAAGTGAAATGTAAAAACTAGGCAAGTCAATACACTTTACAAAAATCAGTGAGAGGAGACAGATTATACCTAAAGCTACACAAAAAGAAATTTTACAAAACTAATGCAGTCGTAGGGCAAGCTATAAAAATGATTGTTGTAACAATCACATACTCGCAACTCGGTAGTGGTTATTTATTAATCTTCCATTCTTTTCCTCATTTATTTTAGAAACTTTTCCTCAATCCTCAACTTGAAGGTATAGTGTTGTTAACCTGGCCCCTCAATATCAGGTACACTTCAAATTTTCTTGTGATACTCTCCTTGGAATGTTATGAGTGGCCTTAGCATTAGAAATGCATTGCAATTGAATATCATAGATAAAATGAAGACATCTTTCTCTAGCATGTCAATCAATTGTAATTCATACATTCCAAACATTCTCAATTTGAGTTTCTATATGACTAACCCCGAAAAGTGAAAAACTTGGAAGAACTCCACACTCGAGTAAATGAAAGAAATAACTTATTTAAGTCTCCGTTTATGCTTCATTTATTCCCGTTTCACTCCTAGAGCTCAGCTTTGCACCTACAAGAGGAAGCCTGTTGGATATTTCTACACGTACACACTACCTTCATGATTACCAGGACACCTTCATTCTTTATGATATACCCATTCATTAGAAAAATAAACAATTTCCTAGGAAATTCTACCTGAAATAGAAGTTAGATCACGTGACCATGAGGACAATAACATGAAGAGGAAATACGGAAGCAACAAAATTGGAACCAACTTCTAACGATAACATACCTTGTGCCACGGATGTGCCTTTATTTGAGGAAACCTAAAATCAGTATAGTTGGGATTCATACAACGAATCTCCTCCCTGGTTGGAGTTCCAAGAACCTGGAAGATAAAGCAAATGAAACTACAGCACTATTACCAAATTGCATCACTTTTAGAGTTAATAATCAAATGGCACCTTGATAATTTCCACAAGCTGGCCCACTGCATTTTCCCCAGGAAACAGTGGCTATATAATTAGAATCTTACATCAGATCAATATAAAAATGCAAAAGAAGCAAATAAACAAACTCATAATTCAGCATGGACTGAATATTAGGACTACTAACTTGTCCAAGAAGAAGTTCAGCAAGTACACAGCCAGCCGACCATATATCAATTGAGGTAGTGTATTCTGTTGCACCAAAAATCAGTTCAGGAGCCCGATAAAACCGCGAACAAATGTATGATATGTTTACTTCCCCTTTCACCTGTTTTGGATTGAATTTCGTCAATTATAAATCACTCCAAATGCAATCATCATGTTCTTAAATTGAACACAAAGTAGCAGATGGACTAGTTTCTAACAAATATTTCAGAACATACAAAAAGTAAAAGCAGGTCGCTAGCACAATTGCATCAATAAAGAAAATAACTTGCGCCAACACCTCAAACAACAAAACTAACATGAAACATGAAGACCTATAAGTAATTGGAAATTTTCCTAACAAGATCAACAGAAGGATATCATGGAAAATGCCTATAAATCATATAGCACAGATGTTCACGGAAACAAATAGAACACGAACGGGAAGGAGTTTCACTTACTAGTACTTTCGCACTTCCAAAATCACATATTTTAACCTGATGAGTAAGAAGATTAACCTGTAACAAAATAGCAATAGCAAATAACATTACTAATAGACTACAACTCTTCAACTCAAGTTATTAATTGTAAATAGCTCTTAAATGCGTACCAGGACATTTTGAGGCTTCAAATCCCTGTGGCATACTCCAGCAACTGTATGCATGTAAGCCAGCCCCCTGAAAATCTGCAATACATTTCCTAATTATTTTGTTGAAAATGATATGTATATTATAAATAGCTAATAATGAAGTTGAACACATACTTGGTATGTATAAAGTTTCACGTAGATGAGTGGCATTCTCTGGTTGGTGTTGCTATAGTGCTTCACGACCCGATACATGGTTTCCGGAACATATTCCATAACTAAATTGAGAAATAGCTCATCTTTGCTCGTAGTTGAAAAGAAACAATGCTTCAGAGAAACAACATTTGGATGATCCATTGTCCTCATTAACTGCAGTTCCCGGTTCTTGTATCTTCTATCTTGCAAGACCTTCTTAATAGCCACAGTCTCTCCAGTTTCCAGGCACTTTGCCTATGTAAAGTGAAAATTTAGTAAAATTAGTCGATAGAAAATATCAAAATGACCAAAAATAGCACCAGAGTAATGAAGATATACCTGAAAAACAATTCCAAATGAACCCGTTCCCACCACTCGCTCTGCCATATAACTTACTGTCTGCATGAAGAATCGTCCGATACCAATTAGATCTCACCTTGTCATTTTCCCTTTATTTTTTCCTTTTTTCATGTTTGTGCAAGGTCAAAAATGCATACCAATATTCACTTGCACATATGCATACATGAATTGTGAATCACCATGATCATAAGCAGTCAAGAAGTGGTCTTACATGCTTGGGTTCTCCATTTTTACCCCCTACGGTGGTGGAAATTATGTGACCCGTGACAGCACCATTCCCATCCATTAAAGGATCCGACATCTCCTACAACAGAATTTATATTAAACTAGAACAAGTTATGGTCATTCAGGAGTTGAATAGCATTTGAACAACTAAGAATAAATTATACTAATAAGATTTCGGGACCATAACAAAATTTTGCAATACCCGCAATAGATCCAGATTTATCATATATTTAAACTTAATTCACAAATCAATAAGAGAAGTATCATGAATTAGCTGGAGATGATCAGCCTGGGATATGCAGTAGCACCCGCAACAGACACTCCAGATCCCACCATCCCTCGTGAAAAGCCGGTTTAATGAATAAGAAATTATTCAATTAAGTTCAGATCATGAATTAAGAAGCACAAAAAAAAAATTAAAAAAAAAAATAACCAAACTCCTAATATAGTCCCTGTTCTGATACCTGAAATCTGAGCAAGAAGTAAATTTTTTGCCTATAGCACGCTAAAAAATAATCAATTAAAAAGTAGAGGGAAAATTCATCAAAAATTCTCGAAAATCTTGAGAAATAAAGAGAATAATATGATGCAATTTATAATACCCTACATCAAGAAAACGCTCAATTCGGACAAAAGGGTTTTATTTTCTATCAATCTAATTTTACAAAAACTAAAAACGAAATTGCTTATCAGAATTCGAAAAACCCCTTCAAGAAATGACCATCTTCAGCAACAGATTACGAAAGGCTATTTCTTTTCTATTCTTCCCCCATAACACAACCAAGCAAAGTGGGAAAAAAAAAAAGAGAAATTAACAGGAAAAAAACCCTCTTTTAACCATATTTTTCCAAAATTTTCTCCTAAATAAACACAACCCAGCAAAAAAATCCAATCTTTTTTATGGGAATAATAGAAAAAGAAAGAAAGAATTTATTACCTTATCGTCGACCATAATACTGATGAAATAAAAATCCTACAGGAAATCAAACCAGAAGGAGATGAGGTAGAAGAAGGATTTAGCTCTTTGATTAGGTTTTTCTTTTATGGTTCAGTGTTCATAATTGTCGGTATGGAAAGAATTAGAGAGAGAGAGAGAGAGAGAGAGGACCCATCAAGAAAACAGCACCCATGTGATTCCAGCTCTTCTCCTTTTTGGTCTCTCTTTCCTCCTCTCTCTCTCTCCACAAAAGAGAGTGAAGAAAAAGGTCCCCTATAATTAGTAATTACTTATCCGAAAATAAGTGAAAAATGTAAAGAAGTCCAGGTAATTATAGAAACTTTCTTGTTCTTTTGTTACGAGGGGATCACTTCACAAAATTGATCCAACCAATTTTCCAAGAAACCAAAAATAAATTTGGCCAACCTTAAGTTTGTTTGTAAATTAATTAGTTTTTAACCTTTAAGGATAGAGATTATTTATTTAACTTTTTTTGGAATTTTTCTTTGAATGAACATTCATTTTAGTTAAGAAAATGATGGGTTACCCCGACCCTATCGTCCCCCTCACAATGAGGTGGGGCCTGAGGCGAATTAAATAATCGATGGGCCCCCCATGTGAGGGGGGAGGGGGTGTGGGCTCGGATAACCCGGGGTGTAAACCCTTGGGTACTGTAGCTAAACCATTTTGGTTATTATTTCTATAAAGAAAATGTGTGGTTTGGATTACTAATTTGATCTTAGCCAACAAGCATTGTTATGAAGAGTAACGTTTTTTGGTACGAGATTTGAAGTTTTGTACGTCTATCGTTTTACCGTAAAATACATCTCGAAAGTAAATCTTTTATGAATATGTTTGAAACGTGTTTATAAACAGTTTAAATTATAAATAGATATAAATTGGTGATTGATAAGAGAAATAGTACTCGTTGATTCCACAAAATGTGTGGATGAAAAATTATTTAACCGATTATAACAATTCATAAATATTAGCCAAACATTAATATGATGTATGAAATCAATGATAAAGGTAGTTGCTTCAATTTGAATAATAAAGAGAATTACATGCATAGACCAAATGATTGTCAAACTTATTTCTCGAGTCATTAAAAGGTCAAAGAGGTAAATAGGTTCTAGTGATCCAATGCCCTTCACCAAGTTCACGGTTTTCGGATTTTGAAAATAAAAAATAATCATTACCAAATTCAAAAAATTGTTTAGTACGAATTTAAGCATGATTGAATCACTTCATCTAAAAAATTAAATAATTAGACCATTTACCATGTTAGATTTATTTTTTTTATCAAAAACTTGACACGTGCATGATTTCAATGAATATTGGCAAGACTTGAATGCAAAACGTCTACTAACTCTATTACATATCATTATTCGCCTCAAAATTCAGGAATTCAACATCATTCAAAGCAAAAAAATGAAAAAAAATAAATAATAATAAATAATAATAATAAATGATAAAAAAAATACAGTATTATATTACATTTATACTCGTTTCAAGGTGACAAAAACTTGAAATAATTAAATAATATGGATGATGAGAATGACACGACACAACAAATAAATGAAATAAAAGGAAATAGAAAAAATAAAAAATAATCATTACCAAATTCAAAAAATTGTTTAGTACGAATTTAAGCATGATTGAATCACTTCATCTAAAAAATTAAATAATTAGACCATTTACCATGTTAGATTTATTTTTTTTATCAAAAACTTGACTCGTGCATAATTTCAATGAATATTGGCAAGACTCGAATGCAAAACGTCTACTAACTCTATTACATATCATTATTCGCCTCAAATTCAGGAATTCAACATCATTCAAAGCAAAAAAATGAAAAAAAATAAATAATAATAATAAATGATAAATGATAAAAAAAATACAGTATTATATTACATTTATACTCGTTTCAAGGTGACAAAAACTTGAAATAATTAAATAATATGGATGATGAGAATGACACGACACAACAAATAAATGAAATAAAAGGAAATAGAGTTGTGATTTCTTTCTTGAAGAAAAGTAAGGTACAATTGTATGTAGCAAAATGAGACATAATTGACTTACATCCAATACGCGGAGTAAACTTAAGCTGCTTCTTGTGATAAGATCTCAAGCTCAGCCCACCAGAGGGGAGAAAGTCTTGGTGCTGCTGCCTCAGGCGATACATCAATCACTCCCCGCAATTTTTGAACTATTTCTTTCATCGTTGGCCTCTTCCGTGCATCTTGTTGAATGCATATTTGGATTACTTCACACAACACATTGAGTTCTTTATCTTTGAAGGATTTCAGGGTTGGATCGATCAAGTTGCTGAAATTCCTCATATCGTTCAAGTATTCAGAAGCCTAACAAAGTCGAAATAATATAAGATTATAGAGTCAAAATATACCATTCTAGGAACTAGCTAACCAGAGGCATGTTGTTCAAAACTTCAACAATTTCCAACTACATGGAGCCTAAGCCTAATTATACAGTTCACTTATCCACTGCAAAATGCCATTCAAAACATAAAAAGTTGGGTTTAGGGGCATATTGGAGATTCTATTCACGTACTAGGTGTCCTTGTGTTCCTATGTACTTCTTAGGGCGCTGTTTTCCTTCATATACAAACTAAAAGGTTCAACTTACCATCATAATATTCTTCTCATTCATCGTAGTGGAACACTATAAATTTTTGCGTATTTTGCTAGGTTTTCTTATGTTGTTCTCATAAATAAGAAGTATGAATTAATCCATAAAAAAAATTTAAACAAATAAGAAGCGATTCCAATGGACAGATACCCAGGTAATAAGAGGCCCTCGCTCTTCCGAGTATGGAAGTTTTCCAGTGATAATTTCAAGCAAGAGTATTCCGAAACAGTAAACATTTGTTTCTCCGTCAGCAAGTGGTGGAAGTTCAGAATGCTCAGAGTCATTTTTTGGATTCTCCGACTTGGCAATAAGTTCTTTCCAAAAACCAATCTCTGCAACCTGAAAAAGCGATCATTTATTTCATTAAAATTGGCTGCCATTATAGGGGAATTTTTCACAATAGATCTCAAGCAAAAGTCAAGATAAAATTAACACGCTATGGTTAAAATTACTTCTTTTACACTACAACGCCAATTTTATCCTTGTTAAAAAAAGGTTTCCTTTTTCACTGTGCTGCCCCCTCCTCATTTGCAGTTTCTCAAGAGCTCCCACGCAAATGCATATAGTAGAGGGGGCGAGGTAAAGGGCGACAAGAAAAATGGGGATGGGAACAGGGAGCAAGGGTAGAAATGGGGTGCACTTCATAGATATAAAATATTGCATAAGCATTCACGAAGAGAAAGAAGCCTACTTTAGGAGCATAATCATCTGTCAAAAATATGAATTTTGAAGTCAAATTGCAATGTGCCAGCGGTGGATTCAAATCATGCATGTGCTGAATGCAATAAGCTATCCCCATGATTATTCTCATCCTTGCATTCCAATCAAGATGTTCAAGTTCTTTAACTGAAGGAACAAAGAATAAAATCTCAAAAAACATCCCAAGTATCCAAAAATGACAAGCACAAGAATTTTCACATGTTTGGCTGTGCTTAAACTCAAGTCCCCAAAACATGCTATATGTCTTACCTTACTTTCTGAAAAAGTGACTTTTAAGCACAACCGAACAAGCTCTTTCTAATATCGACAAAAATTACCGTGCAAATGCTCGGAAAGAGTGCCATTTGGAGGATACTCCAAAACCATCATCCTCGTAAAAGGCTCATCCTCTTCACAGTATCCAATAAGATTAACAAAATTCTTGTGATTCACTCGCGACAACATGTCAATCTATTGAAGTGGCAAAAACAATATTAGCAAGTTTGGATAGCATTTGCAGGAGATGATTGGTGTATTTTAGTGACCTTTCGAATCGTTCTAAATGAATGAACTAACCTTCTTCCGGAATGTCAATTCACAACGTTTTGACCAATCTTTTAGAGATGATATAGCAGTTGTGACAACAGCTATCTCTACTCCACTGGATAGAGTTCCCTTGTACACTGTCGCTATATTTTCATATGTATTAATAATATTGCTGAAATCCTCACATGCAGTTTCTAGCTCATCTCTGTTTAACTTGGGGACCCCTGCAAGTTAAAGGAAAATTGCATGAAAAAGAACTTAATTTGAAATCATTTTATTACATGTTTCTCTTCAAACTAGCTTTTTCATATCAGATTCTAGATGACAAGGAGCATACATACCTGTAACAAATGCTTTCTGCAACTGCCCACTCAAGCCAGTCTTCCAAGGACGAATTGTTTGGACCACTTTGCTTCTGCAGATGACAAATACGGCTGCTACAATAATAAGCAGGAAAACTGCACTTGAAATCCCAATGATATACTTCCATGAATTTCCAGATTTTTCACCAGCAGGAGATTGCTTATCATTTGGTTTACTGACAGCACCAGACGAATCCGGTGGAGGATTAGTTGTGTTACTTGGCTCATGCTGTGGAGGTAGAATGGGTGATGGTACAAGAGGAGCCGGTTTCTTCCTATTTGTTACAGCTGGAAATGATCCACTACTTCTGCTTGGAAGAGCAATGATAGGATCTGATGGCGACCTAATGTTGGCAGGGGCTGCAGCAAGATTACTCGACTGTTCGACTAGTATACGACGTGCATTATTCACCAGGTTCTTTACATTTTCGATGACATCTGGCTCAAGAGAACCTAGCAAATGCAATAACATATATAATTTGGCAAATGAATGGCCTATTTGATTAAAGAACCAGAAAACGGTTAAAACTGCTGCACTTCCGGTGAAATTTCAATTTACTCATCAAAATTAAAATTCATTGAAAATAGGTCACTGAACTTGTACATTTGTTACAATTTGATCATTCTATTAATGACCTCTGGTTCGACCAAATATAACAAAATATAAGTGCTAACTATTTAGTGACTAGCAGTGTATCTAACCCAAGGAAAAAATGTCAGGGCTTACTTCGTTGATTGCTACAGCTATCATCAGCATGATGGTGCAATGATTTTCTTCCGAACCTTGATAAAAGACAATGATTTTCATGTATAAAACAATGTGAAGAAAAAGACGACAAATTAGCACGACTAATCTTTGCTGTAAAAGAAACCTTGAGATTACTTACAGAGGGAACAGATTGAAGTGATGGATTAGGGTCTCTGTAATTGATATCAGAAAAGAATCTCGCTTCTTTGATGGTTTATGACCACTCTGCCACGTGCTGCACAGGACATGATTAACATTAAACTTGAAAGTGTATGAAAAACGAGAATCTAAATATGCTTCTCACTGAGTGATGAAACTGTGACTTAGAAGTAAAACGTGTGACCATTAATCAATATAAAACACTACCGCTTTCAGTAGTCCATAAATCTCTTTTGGAAAAAAAGAAAAAAAAAATTGCTATAAATCATATGCATAACAAGATTATCCAGATGTAAGAAATTAGCATAAAATGTCTTTTGGAACAGTTAGTACAAATTAAATCTCTTCTCAAGTTTATTCATATAGGTGGTTTAAGTTTTAAAAGGCAATTTAACATGCGAAAGAATTAATATGTTACCAATGCCCAATTTTTCTAGTCACACAGCCAATTCCAGCAACAGTTTTAAAATTCACACCGAACTGTAAATCCGCCAGCAAATTAAGTTTCCCAATCTCCAGAGGAATGCTTCCTTCGAATCTATTGTTACAAAGCAACCTAAAGCAAAATATATAATTTAGCAAAGATAGATAATAGGGAAAATTGTAGCGGTCCCTAACCTTTTGATTTTTAGCAGACTTTCCAAACCTTTGAGAAATTAGCAGCTAGGGTTCAAATGAATTGAAAATTAGTTGACCAAGAAAAGTAGACTTTGACCAATTTTGATCAAATTAAAAGAGGCAAAATGGTAAATTTAAATATTTATAAATATTGACAATTAAAAAATATAACTGAAAAAAAAAAAGAGAAATATACCCCAACACCCCCACCCCCACCACCCCACCCATCTTCATCTTCTCCAACTAAAAATCACCGCATGGAAAGCCAAAAATCATCCAAAATGAGCCTCTACTCTTCACATGGAACACCAAAAATCACCGCATGGAACCCTACCCCACCCTCTGCTCTTCGCTCTCCTCTATCTAATTAATGAAAATCACCCAAAACGGCACCTCAATACAAATGATAAAAAATGCATTTCAAACAATAAAGAAATAAAAATCGGGATCGAATTCTTACAACTTCTGGTTGAGATTTGGGGTTTGTTTCTGCCATTATCATAAAAGGCTGTGAAGATTTTTGGGGATGAGGCCTGGAAGGTTGTGAAGATTCATGATTCAAAACCAAAACTCAAGATTTTTGCTAAAGATTCTTTATTCAAATTTTCTATTTATGGGATGGGGACGTGGCCTAGAAGGTTGTGAAGATTTTTGCTAAAACATTCAAAATTTGTTAAAGATTTAACGGGGTTTCTTTAATGCGTTTTCATTTTTTATTATGTTTGAGGTTGTGGTTTTGAAATTGGGTGATATTGTGTTGTTGTTTGAGATTTGTGTGGCAGTGATGGTGATTGTGGCAGCGGTGGTGGCCGTGGCCAGTGCAGCCGCGTGTTGGTAGATGGAGGTGGTCGGCCATGGCTGAAAATCAGTCTCGTTGATTGGTGTAGATGAAGATGGGTGGGGTGGGGTGGATTTCCTTTTTTTGTTAGTTTTATTTTAATTGTCAATATTTGTAAATATTTAAGGTTACCATTTTACCCCTTTTAATTTGGTCAAAATTGGTCAAAGTCTACTTTTCTTGGTCAACTAACGGTCAAATCCATCCATTTGGACCCTATGTACTAATTTCTCAAAGGTTTGGGTCCTCGTTGGCATAAATTGAAGGTTAAAGTCTGCTAAAAATCAAAAGGTTGGGAACTGCTACTGCAATTTTTCCTAGATAATATTATTTCTAGCATCATGCGTAAATTAACGTTGGCAGCTAAAAACTCACAAGCGTTTCAGTGAATGCAGTCTGCCTAATTCTGCAGGAACTGCTCCATTTAGATTATTATACCTTAAGTCCAACACTTCCAGTGTCACAAGCTGCCCGAGCTGTGGAGGGATGCTCCCCGAAAAATAGTTCTTGGAGAGGTTACTATGATCAGTCAAAAATGGCCTGTGTAAGATAGACTTATACAATTTTGAAAATAATACATATAGAAAATCCTGAAGTCCTTTTCTATCAAAAGTGAGAAAAGAGGTTTTGGGACTTAGTTGATTGACTTATTTTGGGTTTCAGATATTTGGTAATATCATACTTCCCCAATGCTGGAAATGATAATTAGTTAATAGTTGTAAAATTATAATGTAAAAGCCCAGAAAGAAGTGGATACTCACAGAAATCTTAAATGAGTAAGATTTCCAAGCTCGGGAGACAATGTTCCTTGCAAGTACTGTCCATTGAGATCCCTATTCACAGGGTAAAAATTAAATGCATAAAGAAATATAGCCATTCGCTCATAAATATGAAGAATATTTCAATAGGGGAGGGGAGGAGACGGGACGGGACGGGAAGGAGGTAAGAGATTAGTCAAAATTCGGTAACTTCAAGAGATTTATAGGAACTTAAGCATGAAGGCATTACTTCAATTAGGCAACTAAAATTGCTAATAAGACATAAGTACTTACAGCATATACACTCCACCGTTCAGACAATGAACACCTGACCAGGTGCACGGATCGCAGTCATTAGGATTCCAATTTGCTAATGCTCCAGATGGATCACATTCTACCCTTGCTTGGAATTCCAACAATGCTAATCCTGCATTCCATTTCTATCAAGTCAATAATGACATTATTGGCATGTTTGATGGGGATGATTGGATAGTACTGAAAAGTATTAGGGAAGTATAAGCTAAATTTTGTTACCTTCAGAATTGAGAGAACAGCCCACTTGAATCTCCAGAACAAGAATCAAAAGCAAAAAACAAGATAACTGGATTCGATTAGTCGTCCATCTACCCCCCATTGCTTGCCAAACCATACGTCGCAGTGGTGGAGGCAGTTTTGATTTCTGCCGACAGCCAGGACTTTATACAAGCTGCAACACAAAATCGCCAGTTTTCTTGTGCAAAATAGTCCTCCGAGCAATACAGAATTACTCAGTCCACGTCAACAATTGCAATTTCTTCTCACAAAACCAAGAATCTTCAACCTTCCACGTGAGATCACCACCTTCCTCGAGCAAAATAACCTCCTAGAAATGTAAAATTACTCGGGCACAACACCAATAATGCAAACAAACTACAATTTCTTCTCAAAAACCAAGAAAAACGAACACATACAAATTCACTTCTTCGACGTAGTGACCAAATTGGGGTCTCACATCTCAAATATTATAAAATTTAGGTCTATAGCACCTCCGTTTTCACGAACAATCGCATAAGCAGGCTCAACGAATTATCTCCAAGATTCAATTTTTAGCTGAAAATGTAGAAAATGTTACAAACTTATCAATCCTGGTTCTTGAACAAAGGTAAAATAGCACAAAACAAGGGTATCCCACAAGCCTAAACAGAATATATTATTAAGAGAATAACCATAAGAACAAGCAATCTATAAAGAAAAAGTAAAAAGTGCATAAAATGTATAAATTTGCAGGGTAAAGGCTCACCTGAAGAGGAGGGAAAAAGGGGCAGTCGATGATGATGCAACGAATTCTTTAGCTGCCCGTAATTTGAATCCCTTTTCAAAATTCCTTTTTTTTTCTGCAGAAAATTTTAAGAAAATGCAGTAAATAGAAAAGGGTGCAGATTATAATTAAATGAATTTATCGTGACACTCCAAATGGCAGCTTGAATTAAAAAATAATTATTAGATAAAAATTGAAATGCGAAGAAATTGTGTGTGATTTCCTAGACTGCCCTTTCCAGGATGATCTCAGAGGTGAAAACTCTCTTCGACCATCGTACTCTGAAAGAGGGAAAAGTGAAAAGAAAAAAAAGAAGAAAAAATGTAGCTTTCTCTCTCTAAATATAGCTGCTTGTACTGTTTCTTTAGCTCTCTCTCTCTCTAAAAATAGTCCTCTGTTTCTGTTTCTTTCACTGTCTCTGTCCTACCCTCCACAACACCACCAGACACGACAACCCTCCACAAACTACGTTCTTTCCTTATTCTTCTGGAACAATTGCATCTTGATTCCCAATCTAATGCAGCAGTTAAAAATTGATCCTCATCTTTTAAAAAGGAGCAATATAGTGTAAATTTAATTATTATAGCACAATCAGGCCCTAACGATAAAATTATCTAAACGTTTTTGAAATTATAACATGACCCTTGAAAATGAATGATTTACCGAAATATAAGAGAAGCAAACAATATGGAAATGTAAAGAGTTTTTCTGTTATATTTTGAAAAATTGTCTGAGCGTTTTAATACATGTTATGTGGAAGCAAAATTAATCGTGCAATAAAAAGATTAGCTATTACACCTATAAATTACGTGTCATGGTCATACAATCGACGGCCTTTACCTTTTAAAGGGATGTTCAGTGTGCAGTTGATATCAACGTGAAGAGAACATGTTGTGGATTTTGTTGATGTGTTTTTTTAGGTCAATCCTAGCTATTAGAATTAATTAACTTTTTGAATTGCATTAACACCTCTTTTAACAACAAAAAACATATTTTGTTTCAATTATTTTCATACAAGTTTAAGTTGAGAAGCTTGTCTTAATTAGTTCATCTATGCAAGGGTCACATGAAGAGAAATTTTGATAGAGATTAGGGATCAATTTACTCTTTTTAGAAGTTGAAGATCAATCTGCTATTATAGTAATTATTAAGGGACCCGAAGGTATAATTCCTTGTATTGACATCCCACTTTCTTATTTCTTGTATAATTATTGTTTTATTTTATTTTTGACATATTTAAACGGGCCCCATTTTGGGTTGTAAGAAAACTGGTAGGTTAACCGCCGGCTAGATTTCCCGCGTTTTTTAAATTGGTGGTGCGGGTCCCACGCTCGTGTCTGCCTTTTAACCTCTACCTCCAATCCACACAACTTGAAACAAAATAAAATTGCTCTAATTCTTATTTAGGATGTGTTTGAGTTACATTATTTTAAAAGAATATATTTTGGAATAGTAACTTGATGGAGAATGTATGGTTAAAAAAGAAGGAAAAGTTATTGATGTGATGTAAAACATTATTTTATTGAAAAATGTATGGTTGAGAATGAGTAGAAGAATATTGTCCTGTGAGGAGCTTGTAGAAGCTATCCAAGGTCATTAAACAAGAAGCAGAGGTCCTGCTATATGGACTATTTGCGCTATGTCAAGATTTTAGTGTAATCAGGGACAGATTTAGGGGGTGGAGGCCCAAAAATTTTTCAGGTGTAATTTTTTTTTTACGTATTAGTCCGACCTGTAATTGGGTTCTGGACCCCTCCCTGAGTGTAATGTTTTTGTTATGGCTATGGCACACAAGAAATGACATCCGTAAAATCCTTTACATAGTAATAAGATTATGGCAACTTGAAACATGTATAGTATACACAAGATATATCCCTAATATTAGGTCAACATGAGATCGATGCATAAAAGTACAATACAAATAGGTAATACACAGTTCGAGAAAATTAGGCATAGAAACGGAATGGAAAGGAAAAGTCTACATGTACATAATATATGTACATAATAGTGTCCATAATGTGATGTGGACAAAATCCAGTTATTGATGTGAAAGTGTGAGATTTGAATTAATGGTTGAATCCAGTGCCACATGTAATTATGGACACCATTATGTATAAATTTATGTACATGTAACACTTCTCGAATGGAAATTGGACTAATAGATATACCCCTGTATACAATTGGACATCGAGTGATGAGCCAACCATCCCTGCACTGACAGGCTGTTTGACAACAGCACAAAGAAAGGGCACATTCTTCTGCTTCAACATCTGTGTAGCCAACAATTGAGGCAACCTTTATTTTTTCCTGCACAGTTTTTAGAGATGAATTTAAAAGGTGGCATGACGCATCAGTTATTGTACATTACAAAGATAAATCAGACCTTGGTGGCATTGCATTTTCCATTTATGCCAGCATAGGGATGGTCAGATTCTGTATCTATGCCAGCATTGTTTATAACCCATTCAAAAGCATAGTCCATGATTCCTCACAGCCATAATTTGTTGAATCAAAGTCCACAAGTTCTTGCTCAGAAAGGCTAATGAGTTCTCCGATGGTTACTGCACTTGTTCCTTCGATAGCTCCAGTTGAGGAAAATGCCCAACAGCTTCCTGTAAAAATTGCCGGCATGTAAACATAAATGACATGGAACTCTCCTATGTAACCTAGGGTGCCTTGATGCAATGCCTTGAGCATGATTTTTAGAGTTTGTGCTCGGCCTTCCCATGGCTCAAGCATCTTTTAGCTTGAACTGTTGGGGGCGGTCAATCCAGTCTTATATCAAAATAGAACCTTGGTTTATACCAAGAAAGTTACTTCTTCTAAATTTGAGTAGAAATGAATTGGTAAAGTGAAATTCGGAAGAAAAAGAATCCACAGGGAAGGAGATCTTGGATCCAATTCTCTCGTACTGACAAAAAGTTACTGAAGAAGATTATGCGGAATCAGAAAAGGCTTCTCAGGTTTTGTTGAAATTTTCGGCGTACAGTTACTTTGTTCTACTGTTGATTTGAATGTTATTTATAAGAACTTCAAGGTTCAGTTTTAGTATTTGCCCACGACAACTTCACAGCAGAGTGATTCAAAAGACTAAAGTAAAGAATTAGATGGGAGGTTAATCATCAATCATGAACCAATTAACACGTGCATGGATCGGTAAAAATTGTGAAGTGCAAAGTCCTAATCTCTTCTTATGAGAGCAATAATAAACAGACTGAATATATAAAACAAGCAAAACAAATTATTGACTAGCAGATTTTCAGTGCAGCGAAGAAGTGAACAAAGTCAATCAGCAGTCGAGGGGAAACATATACAGTACGATCAGGCTCCACAAAGTCCAACAAAAATAGTCTCCAAGAATAGAAGAAAAAATGCGCAAAATAAGAAAACTCACCACATTGGCCTTGATCCATAACTCCAGTCACAGCACCAGACTTCCTCCCATCCAAAGGAGCAAGAATTTCACTAGATATTTCCCCATTCTTTCTTTGCAGGTCCCTCATTTGATTTCTCATCCTTTTGTAAAAGGGATTCTCTCTCTTTAACGGTGTATACACCTGCCTAAACTCTTCATTGCTCATATCAGCAAATTTGTTCAATCCGAGCGTGTGCCCTGCAGATGCTGAATTATATGAAATCATATATTTCAGATTAAAAATCTGAAATTTTCCTGCCTCTTTTCTGCCTCTTGTGCACCTTTGTAGACCTTTCCATATTTCTCCATCCAGTTTTTGAATAATTCAGCAACTCTTTCCTCTAGAACCAGATCATCCAGGTTGGATAAAATCGAGAATTCACTAGGAATACTTGGAACTCGTACATGTTGTCGATGAAGATAGAAGAAATATGAAAGGAAAATGGTTGGACTTTAAGCTTCCCATCATTTGGTTTATGGATCTAGTACCTTGTAACAAGTGGAATAAAGGTTGAAATATAACCTACCAGTCAGCTCAAGAATACCTACCTCGTTTTCATCTTTTTCTCAATAAAATTGCTACATGAATCATTTTTCTCCACTCCATTAGATTCATTGTTAGATTTATTGGAAGATCCTTAGCAACTATAATAATTTTGGTTTATATCTCACTCTACTGGTTTTCATGATATCGCGTTCTTGTGAAATGAGCTTTTTCTAGGTCTACGCAAAATATGTTGCAATTATCTACGTCATGGGTTCCTAAATTTATCCTCAATCTGCACAACTTCTATTTTTTACCATTTATTTTTGTAATATGTAGTATAGTTATTCCATGCTGTACCAATGTTCTGATACTTGGCTGGTTGGTTTCCTGTCTATTTTTCGGAGTTGACAAAATTTGACTGGTTAGTATATTCAATACCTAACAATCAAAGGAGCGTGAAGTTCATTTCGTACTATCAGGTAAATACACAAGAATTCCTCCCCCATCCCCCATGCTAATCATATGGGTTTCATTAATGTTAGCAGAATTAGTATAAGAATCGATGAGCGGGTTTGACGTGTAACGTTAAACAATATAATATACAAGATTCTAGCATTTTTAATACTCTCTTAATGAGTTGTGTAATATTATACGCATCACCTACCGAGATGCCAAAAGTACATTTTGCTTTTGCTTTCTGATCAAAATTTTTGAATTTCAATTCTACTACTTGATATTTTGTACATATAATCTTGTATAATTCACTAATTAGAGAAGGTTCTATCACACCGCAGGCAAATTCAACCATTTCCAGAGCTTAAATCTCATACAATCCATAAACACCATGAATATAGTTCGTGTATAAGCTCAAGGAATTAAGAAGAGCACGAGTAATATGCACATTTATTTAAATGATACTGAATCGTACTATCAAATATTGTTGAATTCTATAAACAGCTCACTGCAGCAAAAAAGAGAAAAAAAAAAGTCAATTTCATTCAGTTCAGTATATAGTGCCTGTTTTATTCGACGAGATCTTCATCACCAACTTAGATGTAATGGAAATCCAACGATTTCACAACACCTACAACAACGACAACGACTAGACCTCTCCATTTCAAGGCGCTCTTGGGTCCATCCCATGTTGCCAAACATAAACAAGCTCGTCCCATCCAGTACTAGCTAAAAGCCCCTCGACAAGCACACTCATATCGACACCAACTGCAAACTCTGTATGGTGATCATACCTTCCAATAAGTGCATCCTCAACCATATAATCCCATAGACAAACTGTCATATCATATGAACAAGATGCAATTACACTCATCCTGTGAGGCGAGAACTTCACCTTCCTCACTGCATAACCATGCCCATTAAGCACTGCCACCGGCACTCTATAATTCCTTACATCCCACACTTTAATGGACTTATCAACTGATGCAGTTGCTATGATACAATCATCATACTTATTCCAGTCACATGATAGGATTTCAAACTCGTGGGCAGGAAGAATCATGGTAGACCCTGGAAAGAAATATAAAAATCCACTTGGTAAGTTTCTGGCAAGAAGATTACAAATTTTCAGGCAAGTTTGGTTATATAATGATCCACAAGCTTCTTTATCAGCAAATATTGATAGAGGAGTGAAATTAAGTTAATTTTCCACCTAAGAGGATTGTGAAGAAGCACAATATTTGAAAACTGTTTTCAACTAGTCAAACCTAGCTTAGGATGTTTATTTGATAAAAAATATATTAATTTATGAATCTCTCTTATCCAGTGCTTTCAGAAGCACTCAAGGCTTACGCATTGAGATGACTTGTACGAGGCATTCGTTAGGAGCCCAAATTTACAATTTGAGCACCCTTTATCAGGGTTTATGACTTGACTTACTGAGGCACATGCCCCAAGGCATAAGCATCAGAAGCCAGAGTACCCCTCATGGGTTCTTTTTACTGGATCAAGTATGAAACTGTTTTTTCACATGAAGGAATGATTTGAAATAAATGAAAACAAGTGAAGAGCCGGTGCATGCCCCAGTCCCCTACTCTTACACTTGAATCTCGATCCCCCAGAGAGAGAGAGAGAGAGTATTTTAGCTCCAAACAACCATTGACACAAGACTTGTAACGTGCAAGTTCATTTTCTTCTCTTCTATATTTTTTTGTAATTGTATCTGTAGCTTTATTCCTTTCCAGTCAAAGCAAACAAAATTTTAAAATAATTGGTAACTCGTTTCATTTGCTTAAAGTTTTCTAGTTAGAGCTTAGTAGTCGCTAAGTGATTACTACTAAATTGTTTATTTTATATTATGAATCTTATTGAATTTTGTTGAGACATTGGCTTTTGAAGCACTTCAAGCCTTATTTACCGAGGCAAAAGGTCTCAAAACCCGACTTAGCCTTTTTAAACACCACTTCTATCTATAAGTCAACAAAATCATCTAAGCAAAATGGAATTAACTTCGACCAGCAAAACATATGAATTTCGCCCAAAACTATCTCTTGGTAAATCAATATACATCAAATTACCTCTAAACTGTATCTAATTCACTTGTAATCTAATTAACTATTAATCACATTCAAAATAGAAAAGCCTCACATTTTGATTTGGTTCCAAGAATGTACCTTGAACCATCATTACAAAACTATCATCAAGGTACAACTTTCAAAGCATGGAATGCAACAATATGCCGATATCATGTTACAAATTAAATAATATGAAGGATACCTGGTTCACGGACATCCCAAATGCGCGCGGTACAATCCCCGGAAGCAGAAGCAAAAATGTCCGCATGCCGGGGATTCCAAGCGGCGGAATACACACAATAAGCGTGTTCCTTGAATGTCCTCACACTCGTCGGCCTGTCCACAGTCCACAACTTCACCGTGTCATCCCAGGAGGCACTCAAAAAGGAGTCCTTTCGAACGGTGTTGAAGTCCACGCCATGGGCCTCCCGAGCGTGCTCGTGGAGGGAGCGGATAGGGTTGGAGGTGGGCGGCAGAGAGAGATCATAGATCTTCAAAGAACCGTCAGCTACCGCGGCGATGAGGAGGGAGTCATGGGACTCCGACCAGCAAAGGTCGTAGACACCGTCGGCGGTGTCAAAGGAAATGATTTCAGTGATAGTGGGGTTCAACTGGAGGACGTGGACGCGGCCGTTTCCGAGTATACCGAAGTTCTGGGAGGTGGCAACCGCGAGCTGGGATTCGTAGAATGGGCTGAATTTGACGGAATAACCGTTGAAGGGGGTCTTGAAGACCGGCATGTCGCGGCGGAGATTGGGGTTTGGCGGTGGTTGACTGGTGGTGGATTAGTTTTATCTTGAAAGGTGTGATTGCAGGAGTCAATGATCGTCTCCAGTTTAATCACCACAATATTCTCCGGTTATAGTAGAAGTTGCGTCAGTAGAGTGCTACGAATTTTAGAGCTTTATTAGAAGCGTGGTTACCAAAAATTGAAATAGTAAGGCGTTTTTGATATGGGCTGGATCCAACGTTTGACATGGACTCAAAGGTTCTTGAGGACGGACCATCAAGACCCTGACAACGGTTTTTGGATCTAACATGTTTGGCTAAGCTTAAAACTCACTATTAAAAAGTAGCTTTTTTGAGAAGTATACCCACGTACTTCTCAAAAGAACCACTAAACAACTAACTTCTAAATTTGGCGAATGTCCTCTTAGGACTGAATTTTAAGGCCCTTAGATTTAGGGCTGAATTCATCAAAAAAATTGTTTATGAGAATGCACGCAAGTTAATTACGATTGACGGGTGCGATAGATTGAAGATGAGATTAGTGAGACAAGACTGGTGTTAACAGTTTTTGGAGTTGCATATCTTGTTATAAACATTTTATTACAGAATTCACTTTTCTTGCAAAGTTGCAATCATTTGAAAATCCATGATCTTTGGACAAATAGCTACATTCAAAAGCTATATACATGATCTTTTCCTTCGTATTTTCAAATCATCAAGATCTCAGGATACTTCTCCATAAATTTTGTAAATGTTGTTCACCAAAATCCTGTTAAATCCTTATTCTTGTTTGTTACAAATCAGAAATATTGTGCAACTACGATATTAAGTTATTTAGAATGAAATTTGTTCTGTCCTATGAGGTAATTATTTGAAGACCTCCGACACTGGAAGATTATTATTATCTTAGAGAAGGACTGTGTATTTGATTTGGGTTGAATTACTTTCGAAATACTTTTTGAAAAAAAATATATAAGCACAACTTTAATTTATTTATTGATTCAATCGTAATGTAATGCATTATAATATACATAATAAAGCAAAAATCCAATATCGCACAAAACAACAAGTAGTTGGGGGTGGGAGTGAGGAGGTGGTAGAGGGCTCAGGTCTCTCTCTTTTTCGTTTATCTTTCTTTTTCTCTTTTGTTTTGCTTGAAAAAGTTATGAGTAATGTATACTGTTCAATCACATGTCTTGAATATATATAGGATGTGATAGAAAAGCTTGAAAATTCTTAGGGATGACAATTCGAATTGTTAAAATCGAAAATGGCGGTTAACCAAACGGAATCGGGCGAAAAAAATCGAACCGATTGTGCAATTGGGTAGTTATGATTTTGATTTTAATGACCTGGTTCGGGATGGGGCGGGTATAGTATTTAGCGATGGTGCCCCGCCTCGAACCGATTACCCGTTAAAAAAAATTAATTGGGCAATTGAGTTTTCTATTATTCTTTCCCAAAATTAATTGGACAATTTTGATAGTTGAGCTTCCCCAAAATTCCGGCACAATTAACATTACTAGAAACCCTTAACTCAGTAACACAACTCTAACCCTACACTTTAAAATTAAAAATTGGAAACCAAACTAACATAACACTCGTCCACTCAACCAATGAACCAAATCAGATCCGCCAGCGCTCTGCTGCCTGTACCTCAACTTCAAATTGTAGTAATCAGCAACGAAGTCTACCCTCTTATGAGCACACTCCCTGAGCTGTTCTGCGTCCATTGGCTTCAAACTATTTTCCATGTACAATTCAACAAAACTCAGATATATTATACTTGATTGCATTTTCTTTATA